CGACAACCTTACTCGATATCTTTGAGAGATGGTGGACATATCTAGTACATAGGGAACCCTACCGTGAACGTTGCCTCATACCGGACGAGGTGTTGATGTTTGGTAATTTGGTGCTCATACCGGAAAGAGTATGTGGATGGTCCGTTTCACCCTCATACCGGACAGAGTATTGAGGGATAATATCTTCTTGTGCTCATACCGGACAGGGTATGGGAATGGCTCGTTAATTGAAAATATTAAAAAATAGTTCACGTGTAGTGGGGACATCCCTATGCACCTCCATGGATATGAGTAGACCGAAAAAAGAGGAAGTTGTAGTTCCGACTGATTGTATATGAAATTATGATATGTGTTATATTATTGACTCTATAGGTTGTTTTTGGAAATCTCGCTACGGTATGTATGCGTTAAATGATTTTATTTATGATAAATGAATTTACTTAAATTAAGAGCTTCATTAGTTATTTTTGTGATTTATATCAACCTTCATGTCTGTGTCGGTGAGTAGCGTGATATTCTTACTGAGTTAGTGTAGCTTACTCTTTCATTAACCATTTCATATCAAAAAAATCAGATCCAGAACCCCATCCACAAGAGGGTTGCGAGTAGGACATCCGTTTGTTTACTTTTAATTTATTTCTTTGGTTATTAGTTGTTCTTTTAAAATGAATATTCTCGTAAGTCCTATTTGTTGCTTTTAGTATTGTGTAAGGAATATAAACCCAAATTTATTATTTCACTTGTGCACTAAATTTATAATTTATCACATTTGGAGTTCACGGGTTGTTACATTTTTAGAATAAATTACTAAATTAATTTTGATTCAATTTTTATTTTTTTATTATGATTTAGTTTTAAATAATTTTTATTTATTTTAAATGTTTAATTTTTTAATTATAACGGAAAAATTAAAGTAATTATTACTTTGAAAACTAACTCATAAAAGATTTTTATAATTAATAAATTAAAACAATAAAAAATATATAATATTATTATTAATTTAATTAACTGATTACAATTATTTTTTAAAATTTTGATCTAAAAAATTAAAAAAAAACCAAATATTTGAAATAAATAGAAATATCTGAAACTAAATTATAATTAAAAAATTATGAACTAAATTATAAATTTTCTGAGAACATAAAATTTATTATAAATTGATCCTAATTAACTGATAATACTTATTTCAATAAATCTAAAATTAAATTTAACTAGTAAAAATATTTTTAAGAGAAAGAGAACTTAACAAAATACACATATTTTATATTTTAAAGTACTTAAAATAATATTAGATATAGTCGTTTGTTATTATTATATTTGTTTATTATATATTTTTAATTTTTCTATTAATATTTTTTTTTTTACGAAAAATGTGATTTTCAAATAGGAATAATTTATGGAATGTAATATTACGGGAGTGAATTTAGAGAGGGGGACCCATTTCTATATTACCAACTCGATAGCTAGGCCGCATGGGAATCAAAACTACCTTACCTACATAAGGTGAACGACACCGTTTTCTATTCAACGTTCCTGTGTGTTCGTCAGCTTTTGGACCCGATTAGCGTCGTCTTCTTTTCTACTTCCGTCAACAGTCTCCACTCCTCTTCTCTTCCAAAAAGTCTTCAATGCTTCAATTTTGGACGGTTTCTTCGTGATTCCTTCTTTGAATTCTCTCTCGTCTTCCTTTCCTCCATCTCCTTAAAAAATCCCATTTAAAAGAAACGTAACTAACCCCACCAACTATTCACCAGAACCTCATTTGCTCTTCTTCTGTTTGTATCTCTAATTCTTGATTCTGATTTCCCCTTTGTGAACCCCATCTGCATTTTTGCTCAGCTTCGCTTAACTTCTCTGGATTCCTTTCGTTTTCTCGAATTAAACATTATCTTGTGTTGTCTGAGTTGTCTGATCTACTAACGAATTGGGAACCAAGAACAGGTATGGATGGGTCTGGTAGTAGATCAGTATTTGGGAATCCCAAGACAGTGGAGATTACGGGGAAGATCATGGTGGTAGCAATTATTCTCCTTTTCTTGGTGGTTGTCTTCGTTCTTATCCTCCATGTCTATGCGAAATGGTACTGGTGGCGAACTGAACAACCTCCTGTTCCTCCTCCTGCTACTCGGCGCCAACGACGCCGTTTCGTTTTTGCTCCCGGCCAAGACCCCTTGCGCACTGCCGGCCTTGACCCCTCCATTCTCCGTTCACTCCCCGTGGTAGTTTTTAGGCCGCAAGATTTCAAAGATGGGTTGGAGTGTGCGGTTTGCTTATCGGAGCTTGTTGAGGGAGACAAAGCTAGATTGCTAACCAAATGTAACCATGGCTTCCATGTTGACTGCATTGACATGTGGTTCCAGTCTCATTCCACTTGCCCTCTTTGCCGAAACATGGTAGCTGCTCCTGATCGGGTCGATTCGGTTCGGGTCGGATCCGTGGCAGATGATACTGCTGGTCATGTTCTGTCTCCATATGAAAGTTTGGCTTCTGGGTATTCAATGGAAGCTCCAAACTTTCCTACAAACATCTTGTTTTGGGGTAACCAGACTCAGGTTAGCACCGGGGTAGCTTCATTTGAAGACACTGCTACTACTACTTCTTCATCTTTAGCTTCGCAGTCACCTTGGTCGCCTAGTCCTAGTACTAGTAGGCTGCTGGTAATTGATATTCCAACAAGTATGAGTGAGAGTGTATCCTCATCCTCTCCAATGAGGTTTGCTGAAGAGGAATCCAAGTCGCCAATGCCCACAAGGTTAAGGTCTTTGAAGAGGCTTTTGAGCAGGGATAAAAGGGTGGTTCCTAATGGTAGTTCTAGTAGTTCTGTTGAAGTTTGAGGTAGTAAGATAAGGTGGTTTACTGGCTTTGGAAAGCTGACTTAGATGCCTGAAGATTTGTTTTTATCTCGGCACTTGTTGGCTTTGTTAAAGATCATCAAATTGAAGTCTTCTAGTATATATATATATATATATATATGTATGAGAAGTTGGAGTTGCCGATATCTCCATCTGGAAATGGATAGGACCTTGCTTCCTCTCTTTTGCTTAGTGGAGATGAGAGAGTTGGGATGTGATGAATACAGTCTAATGCACAAGGTACTGTAACTCTCTTAATGTGAACAGATTATTTACCATTGCTGAAATTGGGTATATACTTGAGTTCAGAAGAAATAGGCTTCTCTGTCTCAATGGGATAGATAGATCAGTTCATCTTCCTCTCCAAAGATGTAATTTGTGACATTCTTGATCCAATGATAGTTCATGTTTTGCAGAATTACTAATCCAACTGCTTACAAATTGTCCTGTTCTTTAATTTTTTTCTTGTGTTTCAAATCTTACTTATCAGAAAATTTAGCAACAGAAAAAATCATCATCATACTAACAATTCTCGGAAGCACCCACAAGGAAAATATATCAGCCTTGGCATTATCTTAAATTTCAACCCATGTTCTTGCTTTCTTTAAAATTATGGTGCTCTTACATTAGCTACCTTTCTAATCACCTGAATCTCCGGTCCTTATTTTATGGAAGTTATGTCTGTTGGAGCAGAAACGAAAGAAAGTGAAAAGAGCACACATTTAGAATACTTAACTTTTAGAGCTATCTCTCTAAGGTTGCTATTGGTGTTTTTTTCTTTAACGTCTTTTTTGAAGTAATGCTGATCCCGTTCCGAAGATCTTATTGACATGCCATCAACTATAGTGATATTCTCTTTTTGATGATTAAATTTCTGTTTTCTGGTACTTTGGAAATTAATTTGCTTTTATGTGGGATTCTACAAGAAATAGATACTGAAGATTGCGTCATTGAAGATGCTGCTTTGAAATGGATGAAGCACATCTATCATGTCAAGATTGAATTTCCATGAAAAGATCATGCATTTTGGAGGATGTTATTAATACTCCTTTCATTATATGTTCAGATTCCTCTGATCTTATTTAATAATTCTTTTGATAAAGATAGTGATTATCTAAATATAACCAATGGCAGTGAGGATAGTTTCAATCCGTGCATTTTTTTGTAATGACCAGATTGAGATATTCTTTTTTGTTTTCTTTTGCCAAATGCTCAAGTTGTCTGTTCTTCGTTGTATGTCAGATTTTTCTTCTATACGAAGTTGTTTATTTGAGTCAGATTGTACTTTCGTATATATTTTTATTTAAAATTTATTTATATTGTATTATAATTAGTGTATATGTATTATTTAATTAAGAGATATATATTTTTTACTCAAATAAAAAAAATCATCCACTGATTAAAACCTTGATCATTATTGTGGAAACCTTGATCATCATTGCTGAGGATTCTTAGTTCATTTCACTGGGCAGAACATTTTGTCATAAAAGAAACGGAGAATTCTAATATCATTTTTTTCAGATTCAGACCCTGAAAGATGACAGACTGCTTACATTAACTTCCAAAAGATCTTTAAACTACACAATTTCAGAGATGGGTTCTGGTATCAAGCTGCTGTCCATGTTTTCCAATCAAGTATGAAATTGCCTACTGCTATTATGGTAACTCCAACATCTTTGGGAATAAAGTTTTGATTTTGAAAATAACATAAGAATCTCATAATAGAATGAAGCAAGCAAATGATACTGTATACGACAATGACATATAATTACACAATATTACTGAATTACTACGTAGTATTACTGGAAAAATAATGCATCCGAGACGCTGTAAAGTTTTGGTGACTGATAAACTAGGTTACCAAATAAACAGGTCCATAGACCTTGACAGGACTGTGGTTGTTAAGGTGGTGAAGAGACATATATGGTATCTGATTTTCTGTTCCTCTATTGTTGTTGAAAAGATTGGTCAGCGGCCCAGATGTTTGTCGTTGGAGATGCACAGCTCTTTCACTTTCAAAAACTGGACCAGAAACATGACGATGACCTGTCAATTTTGAACTGTGATGACTACTATTTGCAGGTTCCATGCTAGTCTTGATCTTTTTCTCAGCTTTCCACCAGAAGAAAAGAGAAGTTTTCCATGATTTCTTACTTTTTTTAACTTCTTCTGCACCTGAAGTTGTTGCTTTGAGATTTACTTCTCTCCCATGTTGTCTTGCTTCTTTCAAGAACTGATCAAACCAGAAAAAAAGAGCAGCAGCTGAAATTATCCTATACAAAACATGAATTGTACGTAACAGGAGATTACATACCTGTGAAAAATCCATTTGGGGATCAAATGGAGAACCCCCATAATCAATTTCCTCATGTTTGGAGTGTAATGGAGACTTCCCCATTGCTTCCTGAAGGTTACAGAGGGCAGGGGTGTTACATCTTAGAAGGCTCATTGGCAATACATTCATTATATATATGTAAATATAGGTGGGTTAAAGAGGGGTAAAAGGAAAAAGTATTATAGGCTGTACCCATCTCAATAATTTCATCTAATACCACAAAAAAGGCATAAGACAACTACCAAACAGAAAACCCATCAGACTGAAACTCTATGAATTTTAGAAATAAAATCATCTTGGTAGTTGGTGAAGTGAAGTTCTTAATGACTTAATTCTAAAATTATAGTAGTAATTCATACATTACTAGTATACAGAAAGAGAGAGGTTGTCAAGAACCAAAAGATTGAGTGTATGTAAATTCTAACCCAAAAAGAAAAAGGCTTTGAAAGAGAAAACAGGAAACATCAATGGAGAAAAAGCATCATGATGTTCTTTATCTCTAAAAATGAAGTCAAAAGCTTGACCCCATGCTTTCTTAAAACTTAACCATTCTTTCCACACACAAAAAAAGAAAAAAGATTTTGTTGAAATTGAAGTGAAAAGACATCAATATCAAGAAATGAAAAGCATTTTAAACTGATTAATTGTATTATTTTCTTATTAGAAAGTTGATTGTATTACTATTTGATATAAATAACACTTAATTATTAAAATATAAAAATTTCTATAAAAAAAATGTTTAAATAAAAACTATATTTTAATAACTATTCAAATAAACAAACTTAAAATAGCTAATTATTATGATAATATAAATCACATACAGAAACAGGGTTGGAGAGCCGAGGGAATCCTTTCAAATGATAAACAAGAATGATTTCATATTTTAAACCATTAAATTTAATAAATAAATATTTTAAATTCTACTTTTAAATATATTTTATAGTTAAAATTTATATATTTCAATAATTACAATAATTACTATTAACCTATTTATTAGGAAAAAAAAAAGGTAAAAATCACGGGACTAAGTGCTTTTTAATAATTAAACAAAAGGAAAATTACCTGTTTCAGTTCTCTTTATGTTTTTAATATGCCTACATAACCCAAAAGTTTACCTTAAACTAACATTAATCTAACAAGTATAGCATTGCTCTGCCAATCTAGAGAGAACAGATAAAGCTACATTTATATTCTCCAGTGTCTCCACTTTCCTTGTCATGGAGATTAAAAAAGACAAGAAAAAACTATAGCCACAAGCTGTGCCAGACAGAAAACAAACTCATTATCACAAAAATAATTATTGTTCAACAGCTACCTATCATGATCAACATTAACCACAGAACATCGGCTAAGAGATCCAACTTCTCACCAACTTTCTATACAAATTACCTTCGCGTCCGCGAGAAAATGAGTGTTTTGAACCTTACTTTCAATCAGCATAAGCCCGTATTTCATCTAAATCCTACATACACTGTCTCTTCTCTGACCTACACATCAAAGTTGAAGCAAAGGCAATGCCATTACAATGCCAAAGATGGAAACCAGCAACAACATCATCCAGGCTGGGAATGAGTGTTTCCTGTTTCCTTTTGTGTCCTTCAAAGTATTTACACCTTTCATATCTTCGCTTGACGAGTGACCGAGTTTTTCCATCTTCAGTCTGGAATTTTCATTTTTAGATAACTTTGGTGGCAACTGCTCTGGCACAGACTGCTCGGAAAGCTGCTGCTGCTGGTTATACTTCTCAACATACTCAGGAAACAATTTTCTAAATGTTGGGCTGCCATCAAAAGAAAAAATGAGATTCATTTGGCAAGAACTTAGACCGAGAAGAGAAGAAACAGTGCAAGATTCTGTGTCATAATTACTTCTCCACTTTTTTCTTTGAGATAAAAAACCATAGTTGAAAGGGATTTGAACTCAAGACCTCTACTACATAATTACTTCTCTACTAATAAAATAACAGGAGCCAGACACTAGTTGAGTCAATTCGCTGCAAAAATTGTTGGGGATATTCTCAAAAGACAAAACTTTATCAAAAACCAGCTCACAGCATATACAACCCCAGATGAACTGTGTATAAATACATAAAATTAAGATGCACAAACTCAGGGCTCACGTCTATTGATCCACATGTTGACTAGTTATTGATGAAAAGGCAGCAAATAATTACCCAATAAGCCCTATATACAAAAAAAAACATTATATGTATACAACGCAATGAACTTACTTCTTACAATTGAAGGCAAGCGACACCTTTGCCAGACGCTGCTTCTCTGCGGCAGTAGTGTTCACACTGCCAGTAGTAGGACTTCTTTCCATCTGCATAAGAAAATACATATATGAAGTCAGTATTGGAATTCGTAAATGTTCCATAGATAACAATAAAAGGGTGTTACGGATGGGATAGTTAACTCTTTCCTGTTTGACCAACAACTACACTCAGGATTCTAGAGAAAGTAACATCTCATGACTGAAGCTCTAACTTACAAGAAATAAATACCATGAAAAGTTGCTAAGTTCAGTATTAACATATCCAGGGACGTATGTGATAATCTTATGTAAAACAAACAAAATTTATAGCTAACAATTAAAAAGGCCACAGATTATGGGAAAGAACAAAATCAGAAAAGAAATTCTAAAGACGCATGGCAAACACATTATTACTACTAAAAGTTTCAGAAAAACCTAAAGCAAATTCTACGCCTACTTGTTTCTGCAATATAACTTCTTATCGCATGCATCTGTTGGAGAAATTATTGTAGCATGAGTTTTGGTAAAAATACAGATGCATAGGTAAAATGAGCTTTTGGTTTTATGGTAAAACTTAGATATAAAACTGCCAAAAAGGATTCAATAAAAAAATTTAAAAAGTGATATAGAAATAAAATAATGACAAAGGCTGATGATTTTCCAGGCATGCCTGTAAAACCCGGTCCTACACTAATATATATAAGTATTATTTTGGGCAAGAATTATTATTTTAAAAAGAAGTTGGTTAAATTATAATAAAGAGAAGAATAGGATTTTTCTATAGCTATACAGAGCCATTAAGTTATTCACAGTCTTGGAATAGTGGAGAAGAGAATGAAGAGAGGAGAGGAAAAAATGAGACCTATAACAAGAAGGTAAAAGAACTCTATTGTATAACATTTAGACATAAAAACTAAAAGAAAAACCTAGTACATGCAAATAAGTGTTGTGTGGTAGTAGCGTTTTGGCCACTTCTTTTTTTCTTTTTGGTCAACTTTCTCTTGCCAATCTATTTTATTTATAATCTACAGATGCTAACCTTTTCATAGACACCAAGATTGCATGATTTGAATAAGAACTTTAAAAATTATAAATTTTTAGAAAATTTAAGATTGTAGAAAAATGAGAAGGCAACACAGAATCTTTCACCTTTTCTTTCCAATTTCTCGATCAGCTTCCAGTCACCAATTTAGTCGATGTTAGGAGAATTGGATCCTCTAAAATAGGATATGTGTTATGTAAACATATCTTGATCATTAATTTTTACAAAATGGTTCTAAGATGCTAAATGAATATCCTCTCAAATTCCTAGATAATGCATTTGGCACATCATTAGCAGGCATAAGACCATGTGAGAGGCCATCACACACCCAGCACACAGCTAGCAGCCACCACACGGTACATAGCATGTGGACATTACATGACTGGCCAATGTGGTGTGCTAGATTTGCTGCCAGATGAGAAAGTGGTAGCTCAAGCAATAACTTCTCTCTGCATCAAGCCAATCAGATCTCGGATACAGTTACAGAGAAGGACCTGGTACAAGTCCAAAAGGGAGATTTTGGCTGGTTTATTCGTGAAGAGGGAGGATTCAAGGGAATGATTACACTACTATTTAGTTTACGATTATCTAAGCTTAGTTCTTAGTTAAATTGTCGTACTGGTTTCATGTAATAAAAACAGTAAAGCTATTAACTGTTTGGGGTGGTTGTCTATGTAAAAATGAAGTAGTTTATTGTAAATGCGGGAGGTAGTTATTCCTGTCAACGGCTAGGAGGTTTTGTAGCTCTGGTATAATACTGGAATGGTAGTTGACTATTTTATCAAGGAAAATTTCATATGGTTTACTTCTTTACTTTATGAAATTCTAGGGTTTTCTCTGGTGAGCCTATACTGACAATCTCTAAAACAGTAAGAATGTAAGTTTTTCCTTAAACTTTTCTCTGCAGAGAGCAATAATGAGAGACCAATCTCAAGGATCACAAAATTTGAAAAGAAAGCCATTTGTTAAATGCAAATCATGTTCCCTCTAAAGATCAATTTGAGTCCTTCCACAAATTGTACCAAGAGGATCAGGCTACACGTAGAATGGAACCAAATTAGTATAGGTCCAAATGGTATCATGATAGCACTGCTCAGGGAACTAAACACCAATTTAGTTAGAGTCACTTACTAGAGATTCCACAGTGTGAAATCGCAACCACTAAGAGGGCAACATAAATTGCAGCCAATTATTGTTATATGTCTTCTCACCAACCGACATTTGTGCTTGAGGACAAGCACCCTCGGAGGAAGGAAGTACCTTTATGAAACTAGAAGGGAGATTTGGGTTGGTTTATTGGTGCCAAAAGAAGAAAGGGGATATTCAAGGGAATGGTGACACTAAGGTTTTTAGTTTGGGGTTACTTATGTTTAGTTCTTATTTAATTATTGGGGTAACGGCTTTATGCAATAAAAACAATTAAGCTATTAACCATTTGGGTGGTTTTCTAAGAAATTATTAAACAGTTTAGGATAAGAATGAAGTTAGTTTATTGTAGATGTGGAAAGTAGCTGTTCCTGTCAAGGGAGTGCTATTCCTTGGAGACTCTGTGGTTCTGGTATAAAGACCAGAACAGTTATTGACTGTTTCATAAAGGTACTAATTTTGGCTTTAACAGGGCCATCATCCAGAAGCCCAGAAGCCATTGGGCTTCTACTTAAACACCAGACTGCCTAGCTGGAAAAGCCCCACCAAACAGCCTCTCGGGCGAAAATAAGTAGGAAATGTTGTCTCCTGCTAATCAACAGATGCAAAACAACGCATAGATGTCACAGAATAGCTAACAGGCTAGAGTTTAAGGTGAACAACATTGACACCCTAAAAAAGTGTCAGAAAATTAACAATTATTACAACACAGATTCTTCTGCCAGCACAGGGGCATTCATAGACACAAAATCATTATATATTTTTCCAAAGCAAGCAGAAAAATAGTATGCTGAACTGGACCACTGATAGAGGATATAAGGTTATGGAGGGCCATAGTGGACTTACCATAAATGAAAGAAGCCCTGTCAGTATGCTGCACTTGTAAAAAAACAGAAAATGTCAGCAGTGGTTTCTTTTGCCCATTTTCTACTATACAAAGGCATAATGTATAATGGCAACATGAAAACAACATCACAAGAGAAGTTAAACCTTGAAATTGCCTTACCTTGATACAGACCACATAGGATTCCAACTTTCTGGATGAACTGCAGATTAAAAGATTAATTTAAATCCACAGTCAGTCATTATTCATCAGATAAAAGCAAAGAATTGTACTCTATGAACTATAGTTCAAAGATCTTACAATCACTCATAGATAAGCAGATCTTCTTCTGAGTCATGAATCGTCCATTAGGAGTGATCATGCTACAGGAAAAAATTAATTCATCATCAGGATCACATTTAAGATTACAAAAATGGGAAACTAAAAGAAATCCACCAAAACCAGAATATTTTATGAAAGGTTAAAGTAGCAAGAAAGCACATACGTGATTCCAGGAGGTTTAAACGGATACTCTGGAGGAAACTTAATCTTCCCATGGTAAAATCCACCTTTTCAGAAGTAGAAATAAAATTTCCAAATAACAGAATTAGATATATTGGTTACGCAAATGGCCAGATAATTATACGAGCTAGCAAAAGACTCAATTATATACCTGCAAAAGGTGTTCCTTCACTTCCCTCCAACACATAATCTGTAAATCTAAAGTTTGTGAATTCTATGAATTTGAAAAACATTCAACTAATACGAAGTAACAGATATCACCTAAAGGAACCAAGTAAACAAGATTTGCAACAAACAAATGCCACTCTGAATAATGGCGCAACCCTCCATACGATACAGTTAATTAAGGAAATTTTGTTTATTGTTTATTATAAACTTTTACATAAACCTTTATCAGACTCAGGAGCTAACCCATGACTCTCACAGCAGCAAAGAACTAACTTTTATGGCCGCAAATTCTCCAAATAATAGAAAAACATTTTCTCACCAACTTCAATCCTATCCAAATAGTATAAATACTTCAAAATCTCACCCAAAAAAAATATAAAAGATCAAGATTAACTTACGCCATTCGAGAATGTCATTTGGTAAAGGACGGGCAACAACTTGGGATACTGGTTCCTACAAATCCATTGAAAAATTATCAACATAACCTGTATATTATATGTTCAGAATATAATCTGACAGCCCAGAACAAAACCTAAAAATGCTCTATACTACTAGTTACATTTGCCAAGAATATCTGTCCTAACAAGAATGGAAAAATTCTGGCTTCTGCTTTAGAAGAAAGTTTAGCAAATGAACAAATGGAATATTAACATATGCATGGAAGACAAATAAGAAGCTCCAGAAGGAGAAGATATACTTTGCAGATAGCTTTGTATTCCTTCTGAAGGCGCAGGATACAACCTTTGTCTGCCATCTCACAACTTCAGAGCCCTCACTGTTTCCTTACTTCTTTCACCTCCAAATTACAATCCTTGGCTGACAAAAAAAAAATATATATAGTCCATGAAAACTACTACTACTTTCAAAAGGAACTCCAAAATGTTTTAATTCAGAGATTATATGCATTTATATGTCGAATAGTTATGATAAAAGGGAATATCCATCATGTTTTTCGTTTGATCTGCAGTACTTCTTATGGGTCTAAGCAATCTTCCTGATTAAGAGAAGAATCTAAAGGTTTCTGTACGGAAAAGACGATCCGAGACGGTGAACAACCAGACGGGCATCATCGTTCTCTCTAAACATCATCTCAAGTTTAATTGCATCAATTGAAAACTGTAGAAGCAATGAACTAATCCCTCGAATAAAAGAAAGATGAAAAGATTCAATCGGGTTCCAAAAAATAAAGAAAACCCAGAAAAAAAAAATATAGCAAAGAGATCAAATTGAAGTGAAACAGATCTTTGAAGACATAGGAAAGTGAAATAATTGGGGTACCTGTATCTGGGTTTACTGGTCTCTGTATGGGTTCTTCCCTTCTTCTTCTTCTTCTTCTTCTTCTTCTTCAGCTGCCTTTCCGTTTACTTTTGGTCGTTAAAAACAAGAGAAAGATTAAGATCAGAAGAACCCAATTGGAGAGAGTGATGGTTATTTGATGGGAAGAGGCAAAAAGAAAGAAAAGAAAGAAAAAAATATATATTTTCTATTTCTCCTGGATGGGATTAGGTTGGTATTTTAAATGTATAAAAAATAATTAATAGTAGGTTTTTCTTGATAAAGATTGGATCTTTTTTTGGGGTGTAGTAGTAGAAGGGATTGTGTTTTATATAAATATATATATATATATTAAATTTTTAATCCGTTATATTTACATCAAAATTTTAAATAAATTAAAAAATATTAACTAAAATCCTAGTTTAATTATGTTTTGGTTAATTGGTAATGATTCCGATTATATGATTAATAAAATTTTTGAACCTTTCAATTTCTATCATATGGTCAAACTTTGAAGTATCTTGTGGTCAATAATCAGCATCACCCACATGTTTATATTCAGTAAACAATGGTCAGCTTGAGACCCACAAGATACACCATTTAATTATTATTTAGTTATATAATGGTATTTTCATTTTTTATTAGATTATAAATTTAAATTATGTAATTTACATTTTATATTATATATTTGTTAATAAATTATATTATACCTATTATTATTATTGTATTTAAAAATATCAGTAAAATATATAATTTTTTACTAAAAACATCTTTTACTGGAGATAAAAGAGTCAGGATATCCGAGATACACAGTAACTCCATGATTAGCAACTGTTAAATGTAAGATTTTGCTAAATCCACAAGATAAAAAGACAGATTTTTTAAAGATAAAAATTTTATATTTAATTAAACAAAAATAAAAACTAATTTTACTGTAGTTTTTCACTCAACATTCTGTTTAGTGTATACATGTCATCTTTATCAGCTGCTAAACCAACAGCTGTTATCTGCACTTGATTAACTCATAGATCCAACATTGTCCTGCCTCCTACCAATATAATATTGGCCTCATTTAGTCCCCCAAAAAGAAATTATATCAGCCTCGCGTGCCTCATCACATGACTACTTCAAAAGAAATTATCCACACTCTTAACAAATCTTTTGAGGTCAGACATACAACATGTAATAGTCAAAGTTTAGCACATGATCACACTAGGTTGAGATCCCAAAACCAGATTTTTTCAACAAGTTTCTATAAACTAGCCATAACCCAAGATTCATCTCTCATTAACACCTTCCATTTCAGCAGTTAAAGACAGATAACCATGGGAGGATACTCATTATCACCGGCTGCCCTCACTCTGCTACTATTAATAATTTCAGCAGCATGGCTTAACAAAGCTCAAGCAGAAGCTCATTCGATAACGAAGTTATCGTCTTTTTCAATGCCAAGCATGGATTCATCTTCTCACCACATCAGAGATTTACAGACAACCAACAAGAATCCATTCAAGAAGGTTGATTCAAGCTTCAGGAGAATACCTCCAAGTGGTTCAAATCCTATCCAGAACAAGTAATTCCTCACACCAACAATTTCATGCATTTCTACACCGGTAGCTGCTTTCCCGTAATTGATTTCAGTACCATGTTTCCTGGCAGGTACACTCCACCCTTAGGAGGTGAAAGAAATAGGAAACAGAAGATAACAAGATCCCAGCAACACTGAATTTATTTTTTTTTCTCCTTCTTGTTAGCACTTGTCTGTTAATGTAGGGTAGCATACTAGCATTACTTCAAAGGCCAAACACACTGCAGTACATGTATTATGTTTATGAATTTTGCCACCATAAACTGTTGAGTTATGCTTAATGTAAGCTTACATGTTACTTTTTATGTAAAAAGAATACATGATGATTTTCTGTAGAACTACAAGGAATGTATATATTCGACCCCAACCAAGGTATTCAATTATGCCAGTAACTTCTTATAAACTAAAGAAACACAATAAAACAACATAAGACGTGTCTATCCAGTCATAATCTATGGCTTAATGCAGCTGTAGTAGATATAACAAAATTGAGAAGGAAAGAATCAACACCTTCATACTTTCAACTTATTTTTCGAAGTTTTTACCAGCCCATCCTTTCTATGTCGTTTTTTTCCCATTTTTTCATGAGACAGGAATGGTCTCTGATTGTTAACTAAACCCAGGTCATGATCAATCTCAGATCTCATGTTCTTCAATTCATTTTGATGTGACGTCTGCTTTGATGTATCAGAAAGGAAGCTGTCCTTTTTGGATGATTTTGCTTCACTAGAGCCAAATGCAGCATAAAATTCTTTATACATTGATTGTTTTGCCGCCTGTCTTGATCTCCATTGATCAGGTTTGGCCGCCAGTCTGTTAGAATTTAACCAAAATTTGTCAATGTGAAACAACTGACAACAATGGTAACATGTCAAAATGCCAACTAGGAAATGATTCACATATTATCTACCTTGTCATACTCAGCATGCAGGAAGCTAAAACTCCATAAAAAGGTAATAGAATGTGTAAACTAAATTGAAATGCAAGAAAGCCAATGAATATTTCCACAGTTTTTTTTATGCAGAAAGAACAAGAATTAAAAATGAATATGAGATCCTCGCATGTGTACATGTGTATATATCACAATTTATCCAAGGATACAAAGACATATGAATACTAAACAATATTCCAATGTATAAAGCAAATGGCCTACCCCTCGATATCCAATTTCCTTAGGAGATGAGGGCCTTGTTTTGTCTTCAAGAGCTCAGTTCTGATGGCTAATAATTCAGATGCTATAGCTTCTCTTAGTGAAATGTTACTAGCAGTGAAGCATCTTTCAACAGTAAATGAACCAGAAGGGTGTAGCGAAAGCTCCCCAAAATGTGAACGCAGCCTAAAAAATTATCACAGAAAAAGAAGACATAAGATTTTCAAATAGAATGAAGAAACTGTGGATAATTGGTAGGATTTGGTACAGTCCGTAGCAAAACAGAAGTATCACATGGAACATACTAATCCTGTACTATTTTACAGTCCTGGTACAGCCCTGAATCATATAAATAGCAAAAAGTGTAACTTAGATTTCTCATTATTGAGAGTTCACTATTGTTACCCTCTGTACGTGCATCATATCTAATACTAGTTAAAGAAAATAGGATGCAAGTAAAATAAATCATTTACAATCAATTCTATTAGACAATATAACATAGGTAAAGAAAATAGCATCAATGCCTATGATATCGTCATATCAGAATGATAAACCCAAAATACTAAACCCTTTGGACAATTTTAGCATGTTTGTTACTCGAAGGTTTTATTTGGTTTGTTTAACATTTAATTCCTAATTCAAATTTTCATATTAGACTTAAAACACATAATTAAACAAAAATCCGTTGTGTTTAAGCTATCACTACTACTTTGAATTCTTCAATGGTAGGAATTCAATTCCTATTTCCAAGGTGGAAGGTTGAATTCTAACATCAAAAAATTCGACTGGCTTTCGTGATAACTCGTACATAAGTAGTTACGCCGTAAGTATGCATATGAAGATATGAAGAATAGTATATGAATTAGAACTAGGAATTTACTAGAAATTGAATAGGAAATGAACCAAACAGAGAGTAATATTGACATCAAATTACCTAGATAACTTCTAAAAATTCATTAGCATATTTATAAAAGTTAATAGAAACAGAAAAGACTAATGCCACCATCTAAACAATACCAATGAATCTAAGCATAGAAAAGAGCATCCATGAAAAAAAAGTAACCACTAAGATATGATAACATGACATACTTCATAACTAATCTGCATTTCTGTTTTACAGAAGCGTTTGAACCAAGAAAAGCTTCTAGAACACGTGCTCCACCAGCATCTTTTGCTGCTTCATAGACATGTTCAGCTTCCATAGATGTAATACTTGTAATGTAAGGCTGTATATGATCCTGTCAAACAGACAACCAAGAATATTACAACATTGAAATTATGGTAGAAATCACATAACAGTGATTATGGTCAATCGGAAACTTTTCAGACTTTAACATTCCAAAATTAACAAATTGTGTTCCTCAGGTAGATCTTTTTTCCTTTTTTTTTTTGAAATAAAAAGTGTGAAAATATATTAATAAGATACCAAGGAAACACCACTCATATACAAAAGATTTACAACTGTTTTAGTATGTCAATGACATTCCCAAAATCTTCATCCCTAATAATGTCATACCCTAACAAAATAAATTCAAAGTAGTGAAATCATCTATCTCTCAATCTAAAACTTTCTACTTTTTACACTCAAAAACCCTACAATTTCTCTCTTTCCAAACGAACCAGAAAATGGTCAATGGAATCAGCTTTACAAATTCTCTCTTTTTACATAAACTTTCCCAAGCCCAAATTTTCTCTTTAACCGACCGCAATAACCCAATTAATTCCCAAAAGGACATAAATCATGCGCCACAACTCATAGGCAATAGGACACCACAAAAGGATATGGATGCAGGATTCTTCGCATTCAAGCATAAGTAACACCTGTTCACCCAAATCTGTCCCCGTTTCATCAACATGTCAGTTCCTCAGGTAGATCTAATTTGAAGACCTTGATGAAGGTGCGAGTATATATAGAGATTAAGTTGTAACACATGAAAAGTTCCCAACATGAATCCACAACCCATGTACTTAAATTATTAAGGTGGCCTTTTCTATCTTTTGAAGCTGGCAAGATATTTAAGGAAAGCAGATACAGGAAAAAAATCCACTTCTGCCATTTATGCAGCAAATCATAAACGGATTTTAAATATTTCCATTTTCTGCCACCATAATTTAATGGATCAACTTTGTTGAAAATTTGGAGCCTCTGACATTATCCAACGGAAAAGAAGTATTTACACAGATGACAGCTGTATGGACTCTACAGAATAGATTGGTACAATGACAATGGAGAAAACCATAAAAAAGGATGAATAAGTTGCATTGCTTGTACTACCCTACAGGTTACTTAGATGAACAAGTTGATGGTCGAGGTGTTAAGATATAGAGCTCACAGATAAATCATTTTATTATTCTATGAGGCTTTACACTTCATCCCTATTCAGCTAGGGTTATCAAATGGAAATCCTTTCTTGACAATGGTCTGGAGATAACAAAACCGGAAAATGATTTTATTATTGGAATGAGAACTCGTTTAGAACATTGTAGGTCAGAAGCAACTTCATTCTTTCTCTCTCTGAAGAAACCAAAATAAATCAATAAATAAATCTTCCAAACATAAAACCAGGAAAATCTATCCTCTTAGAAGGATGAAATATATTAAAAATTGAGCTACCACGAACAAAAATAGAAGAAATGCAGCATACTCGATGGAATTTAAAAATCTCCTGCAGAATCAGAGAACCCATGACATGCATCTTAAGCCCACTCGACCAATTCCACTCAGACTTGTCTTCAGAACAAAAATAACTATCAAGAAATAATATTCGAGGAACAATGCATTTAGGAGGCTCGTTTGTTGAACAAACTGCAGCAGCGAGAGCCTGACAACACTGCCAAACAAGCAAGAAAGGAAATGACAAAGATTAGATTAAAGAACAGGAACTACATATATTTTCAGGTTAAGGTTCGTAAATTCCACTAGACTAGCTTAAAATAAAAGAAGGGAAGATGATATAGCACTTATTTGAGTAAATAAACCTTATGCTCATGGGAATTAAGTCTTTGGCTAGCAGCAATAAGAGAAGCAATAACTCCCGATTTCCCCATTTCAAGAAGATCTTTAAATCTTGTACCCAGTTCCTTCCATATCAACTCCATCTATTAGATAAGATGAGAAATATTCCAGTCATTGCAAAACAAGGGTGAAGGCAGACATTCTAAATCATAGAAAGGATCATGTCTATATATCAAGCTTACTTGATCTTGATTTCTTGCTCGCGAAGCTAATGCTTGAACAACAAGTTTCCGCAATGATGAGATGAAAGCTCAAACAATGAATTCTTGAGACTTTATTAAGATGTCATCATACA